CTGCACTCCAGCCTGGCAACAGAGTGAGACTCTGTCTCAAAAATAATTAAATAATGTCACTAATAATATCTAACATTTATATAATTCCTATCTGAAGTCTGATACAAGTGCTTCACATGTGTTCTTTTATTTAATGATCACAACAAACATCTTAGTGTGACTGCTAAACTCTTCTACAGGTGAGGCTTTTCCAAATTATGCAGCTGTTAAGAGGCAGAAAAGCAGCAAGGGATGATCATGATCTCAGGTTGTACTTCTTGATTTATTGCATCTACTCAATGCTGAAATTCTTGAGGCTTGATTCCCAGGAATTACAAATTTAAGAGTGCACCAAATGCTGGCTTTTGGTCTGGTAGGGAAGTTGAGACTTTCCCTCTGAAGATTCAGGTCTAAGTCTGCTGAAATGAATTGACAAAAGACAGATTAACAGGAGAAAAACCAATCTAAATGTATTACGTGCATAGGCACAGGAACCACATGAAGTTTGAGACTCACAGAAGAGCCAGATGATTAAAGTCTGTGTAGCATACAGAAAGGAATAGAGGCTTGGAGTATGGCAACAGCTTATGGGAGGGAGAGGGGAGGAAAGGCATGGTGAGCAAAGGCTGTCTTGTTTTGCGGATGAAGACTCAAAGGTAGCAGCCTTTAGAAAGAAAAAAATGGTAATCTGTGGTAAAAAAAAATTTCTGTTAGGCATTTAAAAGTGTTAGGACATTTGGTCTCCTTTTCCTGGAGTCAGTCTTTCCTAGGTCTGGATAAGGGGACCCCTGAGAAAGACTGTAGCTGCTGTTTATTTCACTAATGTAGATTTCCCCACAGAATGACAGCTTTTAGGGAGCTATTTCTGTGGTCTGTAGCCCCTCTGAATAGCCGTCTTAAAATATGCCATAGAAGTATATTTTGGGGTGGCATATTTTGGTTTCCTTCTGTCTCTGAATATATCTTCTGTCTGATCTTCCTCTTTTAAGATTCCATGAAGGGAAGATGACATGCACAAAAGTTTTTAACTAGATCCAAAGATACCAAGTTTAGAAATGGTCTTCAAGGGACTTCTTACTCCAAATGTTGTAAGTGTGTTTGAGTGTACACTTTTACTGGGATGAGAGTTCACAACCTTCATCACACTCTCAAAGATATCCATAACCCACAGGAGGTTAAGAACCACTGACTTAAAGAATGTGTGAAGATCAGGTAACAACTCTCCTCTAGGAGTGCCAGTGCTCACATCAATGGTAAACTGTACTTCTAAAAAAAGAGGCAGAGAGAATTGTGTGATTATGAATGGCTTGGCCTTCGTGGCCTTCCTACTTGAGATTGATTGATTGCTGTAGAAATCAGGGGTAGAGCAATCTGGAGAAGACAATAGCTATGAAAAAATATTCAGAACTTTCTTTAAAGCAGCAACACAACAATCAATGAAAGTTATTCTAGAGTTGGGCTAGTATGGAACTCCTGGCCTCAAGCAATCCTCCTGCCTTCATCTCCCAAGTAGCAGGGTCTACAGGCCTAAGCCACCAAACCTACTACCAGTAGGTCTCTTTAAAGACACTTTGTAGCAGCCCTTCACACTATTCTAATGTTTATTCTAGAAACTGACCCAAGGGCTCTATTTGGCCACTCTGCATTTTAATGTAAATGTTCCTGTGCTAAACTTAAAATGTAGAAATAAGGTGACTGGTATCTGTATTTAAAAGCCACCAAGTTTCTTCACTTTCTCAAGTTGTCATCTCAATAACATAACAGATTTTTTTTTTTAACTCTGACTTGGACTGGTCATAACAGTGCATTAACCAATTGTTACTTGCACTGAATTGGATATGTTGGCTCTTCACCACATTATTGCCTGGTTATGTCAAAAAGCCTTAGAGACTTTGAAATGCTGCAGAATATAGTATAAAGATCCCTGATTTCACAGACAGACTTATATTTGAGTCTTGGCTTGTTTATGTAATATGGCCAGTGACCTTTAGCAAATCATTTTACCTCTTCAAATCTCAACATTCACATGTATAAAATGGGCAGATGCTTGGCATATATTAATAGTAAGCTCTCAATACACATTGGTTGCTGTTTTTATTTCAGGGTGAAGACATGCAATGCACATAGTGCTCAGACAGATTCTAAATCCAAGAGTCAAACTTAAGTTCTGCATCATCATTGTGGCTTGCAGTCAGCCCTGTGCTAGTGTTCCTGTGTTCCCTTTACCAGTCATCTTTTTTTTTTTTCTTTTGTTTTTGGAGATGAGTTTTGCACTTGTGGCCCAGGCTGGAGTGCAATGGTGCCATCTCGGCTCACCGCAACCTCCACCTCCCGGGTTCAAGTGATTCTCCTGCCTCAGCCTCCCGAGTAGCTGGGATTACAGGCATGCTCTATCACACCCAACTAATTTTTGTATTTTTAGTAGAGATGGGGTTTCTCTATGTTGGTCAGACTGGTCTCAAACTCCCGACCTCAGGTGATCCACCCACCTCAGCCTCCCAAAGTGCTGGGATTACAGACATGAGCCACCACGCCTGACCAGTCATCTTAAGATTTTAGCATTTTAATATAAAGTGCTACAGATAATCAGATGGCTCTTTTCCACAAATATACCTGAATTTGTTGATCAGAATAAATGTGATCTACTTCTTAATACATTTATTCCAGCACTATCTGCTTTGAATATCTCTGACACTCCTTTTTTGGACTAGCTTTCAGAGCTGCCTTTGCATCCTAAGAAACCTGTCATACTGCTTTGCAGTTACAGGATATTCCCTCTTATCTGCATTTCATTTATCTGTCTCTCCTAGGTTCAATTTCTCTTATGTCCATGCTTTTCCTCATCTACTTCTGTCAGTACTCTGGAGTCAATGTCTAAGAATTCTCCGAGTAGGGCTGTGATAACTGATTGGTTAGGAGTCTATACATATGTCAGCACCTGTCTGACATAGAGGTGGGTGACAGAGTGAGACTGGGTGACAGAGTGAGACTCCATCTCAAAAAAAAATGAGATTTAAAATTTGTTGTTCATGCTACTGATGTATTTATTATTATATATTATTACTACAGCACAACCTCATTTACTGGTGACTGCTACAGTGTTGAATATGGTAATTGATTATGCCAATATGTTCTCTCTGACGGAGAGACTAAGGGATTTGGAGAGGTGGCCAGGCAGAGCTAAGACAGAGCTAGGAGCCAGGGAGATTTATGGGGAGGGGAACTAATCAAAACCAAAATAAACTATGGATGTTATTAATGGCACATGAAGCCAGTAACTAGTTTGTTATCATATAGGAAAAAAAAAACAAAACCTATATTTGGGGAGAGTTAATACTGCCAGAGAAATTACTAGTTGGTCTAAAATTGTATGAAGCTGCTCTAGACTTAGAACTACTCTTAGGCTCATAAGAGTCTTTGGGCAGGAAAAGGCTTGAGAAACATGTGCAGCTTCCAAGGAAGGCATATTTTCCAACAACCACTTCAGGCGTCACTAAAGAGGTAACAGAAAAGGAAGAATCTGGGGCGGTTGAGTTGGGAATGGGGAGGAGCAAAGGCTGTGGAGAACAACAAACAAAGGAGCTCCTCTTAAAGAGCAAAGTCATGACCTAATCATGGAAGATTTCCCACACCTTGGTCAGGAGGGCCTCACAACATCTATCTAGCAGGATTCCAGAATTGCTTTAGACCAGTGACTACTGTGTGTCTCCCATTTTTCTCCCTTTCAGAATGGGAGAGTTGATTACAGTCCCAGTTCTGCAGTTATATATTGGATGTGGTTCAGGAAGTGGGAAGCAGATATTTCATCCCTTTGGGCGATACGTAGTGGAATCAAGGGAATTCACATTTGGGCCTGATGAGAGGATCACTGTGAATCACTAAGAAATCCAGAATTTTGAGCTGCATGCCATAGCTAGTTGAGATTTTTAGATTATCTTTTTTGGGGAAGTGGTTATTGATTCTACATCTGAGAAGAAGAGACATGGGCTTGTGGTGACAAGAATGGTGGACTATAGAAGATACTTCTGATACTCACATCCACATCTCTTCTGATAAACAGAAATCTCATGTGCAGTTGGGCAGGGCCATGTACCAGTTCTATGCAATGGGTTATAGATGGAAGTGGCACATGCTTCTTGTGGGCCAGAACATATTTCCAGTGTAAGAACCCTCAGTATCTTCCCTGATGCAGTGACCAGCAACTTTCCAGATGGTGGCCTCCATCAGCCTGAGTCTTGAGGACTATAGAGTCCCCGGTCAACATAAAATTGACATGTGATAAGAACAAGATTTGGCCAGGCACAGTGGCTCATATCTGCAATCCCAACACTTTGAGAGGCCAAGGCGGGCAGATCACCTGAGGTCAGGAGTTCAAGACCAGCCTGGCTAACATGGTGAAATCCTGGCTCTACTAAAAATACAAAAATTAGCCAGGTGTAGTAGTGTGCACCTGTAGTCCCAGCTACTCGGGAGGCTGAGGCAGGAGAATTGCTTGAACCTGGGAGGCAGAGGTTGCAGTGAGCCGAGGTTACGCCACTGCACTCCAGCCTGGGTGACAGAGTGAGACTCCATCTCAAAAAAAAAAAATGAGATTTAAAATTTGTTGTTCATGCTACTGATGTATTTATTATTATATATTATTACTACAGCACAACCTCATTTACTGGTGACTGCTACAGTGTTGAATATGGTAATTGATTATGCCAATATGTTCATTAATGATTCCTACCTGAAATATGTGCAGTGTATCTTAATAGCTCTTAGATTCAAACAAGATGCTCTGTTCCTGAAATTAACAGGAATATAAAAAATTAAAATACCTCTAAGAGAAGACTTAACTTTTCAGTAATCTTACAACTTTAATACAATTTGAAAGTTGAAGAAACAGTGTACAAGAAAATGACAAACCTGATAACTAGAGCCAATCCTAGATACAAGTGTAATGAAAGTAAATTTATCTCCCGAGTCTAGGGTAGATTCTATGCAAAATTGGTTGCGATAATTCCTCTGCTTGTTTCCAGGCTCTTGGGTAACCTCTTCCCACACCAACTCTGAGTTTCTCTGTGGCTTGTTTTGGACAATAGGACATTAGCAAATGAGATATAAGTGCAGGCTTGAGAATTACATGGGCACTGGGGCTTGCTTGCTGGCTGCTGTGTGGAACCTGAGACTACCACGTGAAGAAGTCCGAAGTACTAGAGGATGAGAGAACACGTGCAGCAAAGATGAAGCATCCCAGCTGAGATTCCCCTAGACCAATCAGCTTGCCAACTGCCACAAAAGTGAATAAAGCCGTCCAAGAGCATCCAGCTATAAGATGAGCCAGTCCAGACCAGAAGAATCACCTGACAAACTGAAAGATGTATGTGAAATAATAAATGTTTGAGGTTTTAAATTTTAAGAGGTACAGAGGCAATATGGTTGATGGTTCTGTTGTATAATCATGTTTAATCTGGAAAGAATCACTTGGAGTCATCTGCTTTTAACTTTTGTCATAAACACAACATATGAGATAACATATTTCAAAACATTTTTAAAAATTTTGTTTTGTTTTGTTTTGGTTTTGAGATGGAGTCTCACTCTGTCACCCAGGCTGGAGTACAATGGCAAGATCTCAGCTCACTGCAACCTCCGCCTCCCAGGTTCAAGCAATTCTCCTGCCTCAGCCTTCTGAGTAGCTGGGATTATAGGCATCTGCCACCATGCCTGGCTAATTTTTGTATTTTTTGCAGAGCCAGGGTTTCACCATGTTGGCCAGGCTGGTCTTGAACTCTAACCTCGGGTGATCTACCCACCTCGGCCTCCCAAAGTGTTGGGATTACAGGCGTGAGCCACCGCACCCAACCAAAAATGTTTTTTTAAACTATCAAAACCCCCCTCAGGTTTGTAGCTGATGTTGGACATGAAGATGTCTGTGCTTTTAGAGCCCATTTTCAAGTTTTAGATACTAGATTCTCCCTAACAAAAATGCATGGAAGTTTCAAGGATTGCCCATAAGAATATATCGCTCAAGAAAGGCATTGGATGTACTTCATTGTACCATATTTTGAAATGTCAAGGAAAAAGGAAGATGACCTCAAAACATTGCCAAATTCACACAGCTTTTCTTTATTTTTAGCATTAACATAAATTAAACTCTTGATTTTTAAAAATCATTGTACAGTTAATTAGTGAAGAATTCTTAAGTGATTATCTGCCCAGGGTCATTTCTTCCATTAGTCCTCCCTTAGTACTTAACTGAAATTGCTGTGCTTTCAGACCTAAAGATTAAGTCATGGGAGGTAAGTGTTGAAGTACAAAGGGTGTTTGGTATTTTAGATACATGATACATAAGGCATGAATGAGTTAGCTCAAATTATGGGACAGAATTAAAATATGATAGTAATCTTGATTTCCATGTATTAGGACACAGTATAATGGACCTGGGGCAAGTGGCAAATGAATTTTGAGCAGTTGGCAAAGCTTTTCATAAGTAAATCTAGCTGCATATCAGACTGTATTGTAGTCCCAGCTACTTGGGGGGTAGGGTAACTGAAGCAGAGAATAGCTTGAGCCCAGGAATTCAAGGCTGCAGTGAGCCATAATCCCACCACTGCAATCCAGCCTGGGCAACAGAACTAGATTTTGGCTCTAAAAATAAATTAATAAATAAAAAGTAATTCAGCAGTTTTCTTTCTTGGATACTAAAAAATATCTCCTAAAATAGGAAGAGGTATAGGGTGAAGAATTAACATATGTTGAATCCTTACCAGGTGGCAGATTCTATTCTTAGCATCTATGTACATGATCTCATTTATATCTCATAATAAACCTATAAATTGAGCACAGTCATTTCCATTTACAAAGGAGGAGTCTAAGACTACTCACTGTATGTTTCTCAAAGTGTATTCCACAGACCACTCACACCACATAACCTAGGGAACTTGATAGAAGTTTATCTTTCTTGTCCTCAAGTCAGATTTCCCTGACTCTTTTAAGGGGCACTTTTAAGAAAACCAATATATTAAATTATACAAACGCGGCTGGGCACAGTGGCTCACGCCTGTAATCCCAGCACTTTGGGAGACCGAGGTGGGCAGATCATGAGGTCAAGAGATCAAGACCATCCTGGCCAACATGGTGAAACCCTGTCTCTACTAAAAATACAAAAATTAACCAGGCATCGTGGCGCACGCCTGTAGCCACAGCTACTCAGGAGGCTGAAGCAGGAGAATCGCTTGAACCCGGGAGGCGGAGGTTGCAGTGAGCTGAGATCGGGCCACTGCACTCCAACCTGGCGAAACAGCGAGACTGTCTCAAAGAAAAAAAAAAAAAATACATACATATATATACACACACACACACACACACAAAATTTACAAAATACAGCTGGCACAGTAGCTCACGCCTGTTATCTCAGCACATTGGAAGGCCAAGGCAGGCAGATCCCTTGAGGCCAGGAGTTCCAGACGAGCCTGGCCAACATGGTAAAACCTATCTCTACTAAAAATACAAAAAATTAGCCAAGCATGTGCCGCCGCAACTACTCGGGAGGCTGAGGCACGAGAATCATTTGAACCTGGAGGTAGAAGGTTGCAGTGAACCAAGACTGTACCACTGCATCCCAGCCTGGGCGAAAGATCAAGACTCTGTCTCAAAACAAAACAAAAAAAGTTATAAAATCCATGAAAGTTTTTAGTTTTGGTGGGTGGATGTTAAAGTCATTAGTTAATCCACCTCTGTTCATGACGGTTTCTTAATCTATATCTATAATTACATTTCTATGTTATAAAAGGTCAATCATTTTTATCTGCAAATAAAAGCAGCATAAGGAAGAAAGAGATCAACATTTTAGACATTAGTGTCTATCCAGTCTCTTCCTCAGTATCTTGTCTGAGATGGCACCAAAAACAATTGTTAGTACTGTTTTTATCACTTGTAGTTTTAAAAAATATATATATCCTTCTTTTCTATTTATTTTGTTATCCTTATTTCAGTCTCTCTTTTTTTACTACTTTCTTATTCTACACCAATTTTTCTTCTTCCCTTACTAGCTAGCCTTGGGTTTGTCACTAGTTTCTGGTGATATTTGGTGAGGTGTTAAATAATACTCCCCTTTCCCAGTTCTGAACTAATTAATATCCTGTATACAGAAAATGAAGACAGATGGAGATTAAAACCAAAAAGCTAGATTGAAAACTAGGGCTTAGATCAACAACTAATCAAGCTTCCTAATACTTCTCACTAAATGTAGACCTTAGGATGACCCACTTATCTGAAATCACTGCTTCAAACCTATCAAGCCCAGAGAGTAGTAACAGGGACAAGCAGCCTCCAGCCATGTTTCTAGAAGACAGTTTTAAGTTGGGTATTGATATTGATGCATATGTATTTGTATATGTATAATGAATACATTTATTCATATATATTAATATTATATGAAAAGGTAAATATTTCTACAAAATGCAAACCTAAATTAAAATCAGTCAATCTCAGTTTCAGGGGCAGAGTGTTGGCCTGGCAGAATATGTAAATGTGGAAGAAGCATGTGCCTCTGACAACTGCCTTAAGACCACGCCCTCCCTCCCAACAATAATATACAGGAACAGAGATAAAATGATGCCATAGCAGATTCCCTATCATGTCCACCTTGCTTACAAGTTCACCTTGCTTAAACAGATTCAGTAAATCATGTAGAATTGTAGGATCATGACTAATTATGTGAATTAATTATGTGAAATCATCCGGTGGGAATTAAGATATGGTTCAGTAAGTTACATGTTGGCTGTAGAAATGAAGATGACCAGGCCCCAATGTCAATTCTCTGTGACAAGTATGGGGTTTTCCCAAAGTTAGAAGGCTATTGTTACTGATTTTAATACACCATGTAGCAAGGAGACCCAATTGGAGGAGTATAACAAGTGTACAGCAATGGGGATGATAGTGGTGACAATAGCAGCCAGGACCCAGAGTCAATTAGCTTCAGGTGAAGCTTCCTAAAATGATATACACAGATGAATAAGATTGCCCTATCCTCACACAATTTATACTTTGGCAGATAGAGAAGATAGAAACAAACTTATTTCAATAATATAAATAAGAGTGACAACAGCTAACCTTTACTGAGTCCCTATTATATTCCAGGCGCTGTGTTACACAGTTGATCCTTGCTATAGAATCATGATATAGGTATTAATATAATTGTTATTTTAAGCCTGGACAACATGATGAGACACCATCTCTACAAAAAATTTAAAGATTAGTGGGCATGGTGGCACTCCCCTGTAGTGCCAGCTACTCAGGAGGCTGAGGTGGGAGGATTGCTTGAGCCCAGAAGGTCAAGGCAGCAGTGAGCCATTATCACACCCCTGTACTCCAGCCTGAGTGACAGCACAGGACCCTGTCTTGCTCAAAAAAAAAAAAAAATCTTATTTTATAGATGGAGAAACTGAGACTTGGGTGGAGTGTGGGTATTAAGCAGTTTGCTCATGAATGTGCAGGAAGTAGATCCTTAAGTTAGACTTTAAACTCAGGGAAAAATGTGTAAGACATTGTGAACACAAAACCCATAGGTCAGGTGAGAAGAAAGACTTGGGGAGATGCCTAAGGGAAGTTGCTGTTAAGGCCATTTTCTAAATAGATTAGCAGCTTACCTAAAATACTGTTAAGTACTTTTTAACATTTTTGTGTGTGAATAGTCATAATGAACTTACGTGTTTAGGGGAAGGAAGTGGCAAGAATCATACTTTGTGTTGGAATCTATGTTTTCCTCTATTTTTCTCTTGGTTTGAAGAGAGACAGGAGGGAGAGGCTTTAGCAGCCAGGTTTAAGAACAGAGGGAAGCCAAATCTGCCAAGTGAGGGACGTGCCAAGAATTCAGGTCCTAGAGATTATGGTGGATTCGGGCATAGATAGCTGGGGCAATTAGAATATGCAAGTAATCAGCCAGAGCTAATTAGTTAACAACAGACTTCTGGTTTAAGCTCTGAAAACCTAAAGTTGCAAAGCAGCTGAAACAGCTAAAGTAAGGTTTTAGGTGTCAAAACTATTCCTAGAGTAGAACATACAAACTGAAGCAGCAAATGTAATTTTGAATAGGTCTAAAATATCAGAAGTGGAAGATTTCAAATTTTCTTAAAGGTAGCAAAGAAAACCAAAGATGAAAGAGTTGTTAATAAATGTTAAGATTTATTCTGACAGGAATGGGATTTGTACCTAAAAGATAAGTTTCTTTTATAACACTTTTTGTATATTTTTTACTTGTATAATGAATAATTTATAGTATTATTTTAATAAAGGGTTACATATTTAGATTTAACCATTTACTTCTCAACAGAGCTAACTAATAGAGCTCCAAGGACTGCCGTAAACAGACTCAAGCTAGGAAGCTATGCTTCTGGGTCCTGATAGGGCAGCTCAATGTTGTCTTATAT